TAAATGAAGACATTACATATATAGCTTTTTTTAATGTCTTTTGAAGATTCTGCAGCTCGTACTAGTTGGAGTAGATGGCCTCTGCAGTGTGTATAGGAGAGATTAGGGTTACACTTTTCTCTGAGCAAAGCTTGTACTCCATCATGTCTTCCAGAGAAGTTTGCAGCTCCACCAAATGCACAACTCTAAGATGTGGGTTGTCACAGATGCAACCCATGTGTCTTCTATAACTTGAACATCTAGAAATGCATCTACTGGCCTACCCCAACATCAAGATTTTTTGAATGTGGTGAGAGAGTTTTTCGCTTTTTCAGCTGCTGAGTCTTTCATTGTTGCACAGCATGCTTCTAGCCAGTCAGCTGAGTTTCTTGCAGAAAGATAGTGAGCATTTGCTGGTTTTGTTCGGAACCAGTGTTCAACTTCAGGATGAACAAGTGACAATGCACTTAACATTGGCTTCCAGTTTGTAGTGTGTGGTATCTCTTGCTTAAATAGAAAGTAGGGTGCCACAGCCTTGTTTGTTTGCATGAACTGTGTTGTGTCTCCAGCATTCTTAACAGCCTCATTAAGTACTTCTAAAATTGGTTTTGAAAGTGGGCTTATAAGGCTTTCTGCATGTTGATGCACTCCAGAGGCCTGGTGTTTTGCAGCCTGTTCACGTAGTTTGTCATCATTGGCTTTGCTGATCGGTTTGACAAACCAAGCTCCTCCACTTTTACCAATTATAGCATTGGGAAGCTTTCCTTCTTTGTAAGCTTTTTTGCAAGAGGTGCACCAGCAGCCATTTTTTGTAACTTCAATAAATGAGAACACTTTGACCCACAAACATCGGGAACTGCCTTTAGGTTTTGGAGACACTGTTTCTTCAATAGGTAGCTGTATTTGTGCTTCGGGCTGGTCAGATGTAGATATATCACTTGAACCTTCAGATGACATGTTGATATATTCTTGGTTCTTGATGTGTTCTTCACCTTGGTTAGTTTTTGAGGCCTTTGAGTGGAAAAATTGTTGTATTGTTTTTTTGTCTTTTCATTTTCTCTTTGACCTGCAACATATAAAAGAGATATGAATAAAGTAAATGTTTTGTTAGGATAATGCAAATTTAACATAAGGATAATGCAAGTTACACCAAAACACAACAGGTCTAGATTTCTAAAAAATATATATAAATTTAAAAAAAAATATGTAATTTAAATTGACTTTTGAAAAGTAAGCCATCATGGGATAAGAAGGAAGTCCTCTCATGGATCAGTAACTGGTTAAAAGATGGGAAACAAAGGGTAGGAATAAATTATCAGTTTTCAGAATGGAGAGAGATAAATAGTGGTATCTCTGAGGGGTTGGTACTGGGACCATTACTGTTCAACATATTCATAAATGATCTGGAAAAATCGGTAAACAGTGAGGTGGCAAAATTAGCAGATGATACAAAACTATTCAAGATAGTTAAATCCCAGGCAGACTGTGAAGAGTTACAAAGGGATCTCACAAAACTGGGTGCTTGGGCAACAAAATGGCAGATGAAATTTAATGTTGATAAATGCAAAGTAATGCACATTGGAAAACAATCTCAACTATACATGCAAAATGATGGAGTCTGAATTAGCTGTTAACACTCAAGAAAGAGATCTTGGAGCCATTGTGGATAGTTCTCTGAAAACATCCACTCAATGTGCAGTGGCAGTCAAAAAGCAAACAGAATGTTGGGAATCATTAAGAAAGGGATATATAATAAGACAGAAAATATCATATTGCCTCTATATAAATCCATGGTACGTACCCACCTTGAATACTGTGTGCAGATCTGGTCACTCTGTCCCAAAAAAAGATATATTGGAATTGGAAATGGTACAGAGACAGGCAACTAAAATGATTAGGGGTATGAAACAGGAGGAGAGATTAAAATGACTGGGAATTTTCAGTTTAGAAAAGACGACTGGGGGGTGGGGAGAAGATATGGTAGAGATCTATAAAATATTGACTGGTGTGAAGAAAGTGAATAAGGAAACGTTATTTAATCCTTCACATAACAAAAGAATTAGTAGTCACCCAATGAAATTAATAGGCAGCAGGTTTAAAAAACAAAACAAAATGAAGTACTTCTTCACACAACATGAAGTCAACCCGTGGAACTCTTTGCCAGGGGATGCTGTGAAGACCAAAACTATAACAGGATTTAAAAAAGAACTAGATAAATTCCTGGAGAATAGGTCCATCAGTGGCTATTAGCCAGGAGGGGGAGGGATGCAACACCATGCTCTGAGTGTCCCTAGCCTGTTTGCCAGAAGCTGGGAATGGGCAACAGGGGATGGATCACTTGATGATTACCTATTCTGTTCATTCACTCTGAAGCACCTGGCCTTGACCACTGTCAGAAGACAGGATAGTGGGCTATATGGACAATTGGTCTGACCCAGTATGACAATTCTTATGTAAAAATTAAATTATAATAATAAAAATGTTTAGTACAGAAACTCCCCAACATAATGACCTCAAGATAGCAATGATGTGAGATAACAACCTTGGCAAATAATGCATTTTAAAAATCTTGGCTTACTAGGAAATATATTTATATAAGTTTCCATTCCCAGTCACAAATCTAGCATTCTGGAGCAAAGTCACTAAAATATAATCCAACAAACATTTATTTAACGTTCCCCTCATTTTTCCCTCCACCGCACCCCACTCATCAGTAAAAAGAAAAGGAGTACATGTGGCACCTTAGAGACTAACCAATTTATTTGAGCATGAGCTTTCGTGAGCTACAGCTCACTTCATCGGATGCATACCGTGGAAACTGCAGAAGACATTATATATACACAGAGACCATGAAACAATACCTCCTCCCACCCCACTCTCCTGCTGGTAATAGCCCATCCAAAGTGACCACTCTCTTTAAAATGTGTATGATAATCAAGGTGGGCCATTTCCAGCACAAATACAGGTTTTCACACCCCCACCCCCACCCCATACACACACAAACTCACTCTCCTGCTGGCAATAGCTCATCCAAACTGACCACTCTCCTTACAATGTGCATGATAATCAAGGTGGGCCATTTCCAACATAAATCTAAGTTTAACCAGAACGTCGGGGGCGGAGTTAGGCTACCTTGCAAGCTATTACCAGCAGGAGAGTGAGTTTGGGGGGCGGAGGGTGAGAAAACCTGGATTTGTGCTGGAAATGGCCCAACTTGATGATCACTTTAGATAAGCTATTACCAGCAGGACAGTGGGGTGGGAGGAGGTATGGTTTCATGGTCTTTGTGTGTATATAATGTCTTCTGCAGTTTCCACGGTATGCATCCGATGAAGTGAGCTGTAGCTCACGAAAGCTCATGCTCAAATAAATTGGTTAGTCTCTAAGGTGCCGCAAGTACTCCTTTTCTTTTTGCGAATACAGACTAACACGGCTGTTACTCTGAAACCACTCATCAGTGTTGTCCTTGGTCAGTGGAGACTCAGAGTTCAGAGGTGCTTTCACCTGAGTACACTTCCCAGGTGGGGGGCAAGAAGGCACCTTGCTCGTTCCTCCAGCTGCTCGCTGTTTACTCTGGCCGCTGCTGTTCATTGTACCACCGTTCACTCTGCCACTCTGTTGCTAATGGCCCTGCGCAATCACCTTCTGCGGCCACCGTGATCTCTGTGAGTTAGTCTCTTGAGGTTCCACCAGCTCTCAGCAATTTTAGCTGAGCTCTCAGTGGGGGAGCCTCACAGCTAGTTTAGTCTGGGCTGTGTCTTCCACAGAAACATTGTCCCACAGCAGGTCTAAGCACTTAGACCTGCTTATCAGTGATTTCAGCTGTCCTGGTCACTTAACAGAACAAAAGACTATCTATGGAGCCTAATCAGCTCTGTCTTTAAACAGTGGAGACAGACCCCTCTCTCTTGATTCTCTCAATCAACACAGCCTAAGTACCGTTCTACTGCCCTTTATTCATACAATAAGAACAACAACATTTCATCCCCCCCCCCCCGCATTCAAGTGATTTGTAACCCAATCCCAGCCAAAATCTATCACTTAGGCAACACAGCTCTGTTTGCTGGATACCTGGGTAGATTAGGTGTGAATGCAAACACAATCTGGCCCTGAAGCCTTTCCCCCCAGCCCCAGCTCATCACTAGCTGTAAGGGAGAGCTCATTTAGACTTTACTTACAAATCATCATTTGAAATTATTAAGTTGGCCAACATCACCAAAATGAATGCACCTACATTGTCATAAAAAACAACAGCTGTATAAGGAAGCTAGTCTATGTTCATACTTTTCAAATCTATTATACTTTTTCAGATACATGTATTTTATCATACACTGTATATGCTTTTAAAGTGTGTATAAATGTTTCAATTTCAATTCAAATTTCCAAACAGTCACTAAATTGGCATGTAAATAGTTCACAAAACTGATGGGGGGGGGGTGTTGGGGAAATCACTGGGTGTGGGTGGGGCTTTTCCTCCGATACCTCCTGTGTGGGAACATATAGTGTCTGAAGGAGCCTCAATCACCACGCAAGAGACGCTTCACCTGGTGCAAGCGGGTTTCCTCTTGTTCTGACGCAGGCAGCAAACGGCAGAGGGGTGACGACACAGCTGCTTGGGGCTGCGCTGTTCGGCTTCAAACGGGCTAAGACACCGCTACCTGGCAGCAGCGGTTTTCCCCTTGGCGGGCTCCGCCTCCGCGGCTCTCGAACGCCGTCTGTCGTGCAGCCCGCGGGCTGGGCCTGGCGAGGGGGACAGTGGCGCTCAATGGTGACAGCCCCAAGGCGGGGGGAAGCTACAGGAGAGGCGGGGGAGCAGGAACCGTGAAGCCTGAAGGGGCAGCAATAAATAGAGGGAACCAGAGGGTGGGAGAAGCTGGGGAGAGAGACGGGCGGGAGGAGCCAGCTGCTGCGGGAACAGGGGTGAGTGACGACAGGGGGGAGCCTGCCCGGGGGCGATCAGAGCTCCCCCGCCCAGCCAGCCCGCCACCGCCCCGGGGAGCAGAGGAGGCGCAGGAGAAGGCGGTGCCTTTCGGAGGAAGTTTGCGCTCCGACTGAAGAGGAGGGAGAGAGAAAAACCACCCTCCCGATCCGAAGCGGCCAGCCCGGGCTGAGCGGCTGTTGCGAGGAGACGCGGAGCTCCCCCACGCCAGCCGCCTCTCCTGCAGACCGGCCCCAGGAGCGCTCCGAGCCGCTCGCGCCCTCCCGCAGCTCGTGTCCGGCGCTGCAGCCCCTGCCCGCGCCATGGGCGGCTCTGCCTCCAGCCTGCTGGACGAGAGCAAATGCAGCTACATCCGAGGTACCGTACGGCGCTGCTGCCTGCCGGCCCGCAGACGATCGGTACAAGCTAGGCAGAGGGACGCGGTGATTCGTGGGCGGTTCTGAAGTTGCGAAGTATTTAACGGCTGGCTGCCTCCCAGTCTGGATGCTCCCTGAGATCCAGTGACAGGAGACAGGCAGCGGCCACCACCACGTTTGCATCAGAATTTTAATTCCGGGAGGGTGAGAAGCTGGCTGCTTTGGGGGAGGGGGGAAACGGTGCTGCTTAAAAGTCTAGCAGTGTTCAGTGTTTGCAGAAAGTGAAGGCAGCAGGCGGACAGGACACTCTCCACTGGAGAGATCTGAGGGGTAGGCAGGAGAAATTGATACTTCTGGGTAACTTATTGTCATGAGCACCGACCCTGCTGTATCTGCCTGCCAAAGGATTAGGCAAAGCCTGTTCTCAGGAGCCTCCGGGACCAGACCTGCAGAAAGCAGCACAGCTACAGTGGGAAGTTCACTGTATGACGGAGTGCCCCAGACGTTTCTGCCTGGCAATGGGAAGGGGGACTGAATGGGTGGGTCTGGGTGCTGCTGCCCTTTTACAGAGGGACTCCCAGTAAACTAGAGTCGGAGCCTGAAGTTAGTGTAAAATTAGGCAAACTTGGCAAGGGGGGAGCGGAGGAGGGCAGGAAAAATATTGGTGAAGGCAAATATTTTTGTTTTTGGAAAGTAAATACAGCTGCTTGCATTGCCCTCTCCAGGTCGTAACCCAATAAAACCAGGCAGTTGAGACTGGATAATTATCAATCATACATTGAAAGTATGTGAACTATACCATCTTGCCATTGTTGAAAATGCCTTCCATGCTGTCTGGGGCCTATTAAAGTTGTGGGACTTCAGCAAAGCATTTAAGCATGTGCTGAATTGGGGAACAGGGGCAGATCACTTCAGAGAGGGCCAACATATCACCTGATTCAAAGCAAATGATTTTTCACATTCCAATATTAATGCTTTTAGGCTCTTAATGATTGACCATGCTTTGTGTAAAATAAATAAATAAAATAAACACATGAAATCAGAGAGGGCCAAAATATCCTGAAACTGGAAAGAGTGTCCACCTGATGTCAAGATCTCAACTCTGTGGTCCTTCTATACTTTGCAAAATCGGGCTCTTAGGGCCAGCATACAAAGCTGATAGTGCCAAGTCCTTTGAAGCCAATAAAGTTTCGTCTGGGTTTTGGATTACATAGATAATCTGGAAAGGACTTGAGTTACCCAGACTAGTAAAGGGTTCTGTCATCACCTGCCTTGTAATGTTGGGTGCCTTAATACTTTGCCTCTATGACTCAGAGCTCTGACACCAGTAGTCAGCGTACAAACATAAAGGGCTCAACTCTGCCTTCCACCAACCTAGTTATTTCTTGCAGGATGACTTCAACAACCCCTGTTCTGGTCTGGAGTTCCCCCAAATCTGTTTCCCTGAGTTTTTAATGACCAGATATTCATATTTTCCACTTTGGCTCATCACCCCTGAAGAAATGAAATCTCTCCCCACCTATCAGTTCACTTTGGCAAACACACTTCCCACAGTTTGAACAACAGAGGTCAGTTTGGGATAAAATACCCAAAAAAGTTTGTTTAATAGAGAAATCATAGAATCAAAGGTGAAACGGTAAGGAAAAGCAAACACAGACAAGTTACCCAGAAAATAAACATAAAGATGCAATCTCAGGCTTTACACATGTATATTATCTAAATTCCCCTTTTGCCTTTCAGACTATGGTAATTCGTGTTTATACAGAGCAGGGGAAATTCCCTCCTTCCTTAGTTATCCAAGACTGGGATTTTCTTTTCAGTTTCAATGTCTTTCCATTAACTTTAATGGTCCACCATTGTCTTCCTCTGTGTTGTTCCATAGTAGGTTGTCAGAATTAGTGCCAGGGAAGCAACTAGCCTGTGAGATATTCCACCCCCGGCCTGATTACTTTCCTATGCTGAAGTTATGTGGCACTTGCACCCTAGTTACCATTAGTGTTTTACGCATAGGGCTAGTCTACACTAGAAGCACTACATGGGTGCTCTATGCTGACAGGAGAGAGCTCTTCCATGGGCATAATAAATCCACTCTCTGTGAGAGGCAGTAGCAAGCATAAATAGCCATAGCCATAATCTGTAAACATCTTTCCCAATGACCATCAAGTACAGAACATACAAGCTTTTATTAAAAGACCTTACTTGATGTATATTTGTACACAATAACGTTGTATACAACCAGTTGATTCAACTGCTTATTCTTGGGGTTCAGCCCCTCTTGTTCTCCCCTTGGGGTGTCTGGACCGTCACATCTGCTTGTGTTTATTGTTAAAGTGATAAAGAAAATGACAACTTAATTTTCCAGAATATATATATTTGCTTGTAAAGGGAAATAGATAAAAAATGTCAGACTTTTTGTTACTATCTGTCTAGATGTATATATGCCCCCATCACTGTAGTAACAGCTGATGTTTATGTGACCAATTTTATGTCTGAAAATCTGCTTTTGCTAAACAAAACATATATAAAAAGGTGTGTGTGGGGAGGAATCATATAGCTGGCACTGAGACAAAACTTCTGTTGAAGCCAGTAGGAGTCCTACTGGTTCAGGGCCAACTGAGTCAAAACCTTTTTGGTACAAAATGTAGTCTGACTGCTCAGTGCTGTTTGCTATTTTAGTTGGCGTTCACTGCATTATTTTGTTAGTGGTGTGATCTGTGCTGGAGTAAGAATGTAGAACTGCCACTCCTTTAGGAACCTCATGGAAAATGAATAATGAACTGTCTCTCTCATGAGTGTGCCCAAATTAGAACGTTTTAAAATGAATAAATCACTATCAGATGAAGAATAATGGGTCAAATTGTGGAGCCTACATGGGAGATCTGTATGTTTCCTAATGTGCAAGGGGGGAGATCAGCTGCCTCTGCAGCTCTGTTAGTTTCCTCCAGACTGTGGAGGATAGACTCAGCACAGGACAGAACCATGATAAATATGTCAATGGGCTCCTCCTCTTTGGCTCCCCTCCTGCCATTCATACAGTGGGGAAGGACAAGAGGGCAAGATCAATCCCAGTGTAATTTTCAGCTTCAAGGCAGTATCTCAGCTTCTTGGTCATTGAGACCTGATGATGAGAGTTGTGAGTCTCTTAAAGGACCAATACCTAGTTACTGCAGATAAGGAGACTGTTTTATACTAGCCCTTTAGATGCATGAAAGCAAAAACTTTTGCAAGTTCCTGCTCTTGGCACTCTTGTCTGTGAGGGGAATGGAGAGAACCATTGTCAGACAGTTAAGAAGTAAATATTTGTTTAGAATGCGTCGGGCCATAATCCATTTTCAGTCTGGAAAGGATCTTTGTGTAACTAAACAATTCCTGCTTCTAACTCCTGCTATGAATAATGGTTGATTTTTATTTTTTATTTGTTTTAATCTTGGGAAGAAAACGGCCTATAGTACTACTTTTAGTGGGAGAAGGGAGGAAGATGGAAGCGTGTCTTTAATTCCTGATATCTGTTTAGGACCCAGTCCAGCAAGTGCACACCATACAATACTCCAGTTGGCTTTGGTGGGGGTTTGCAAGATTCAGTCCTTGTTTATCAATGGCTATCTTTTGGTAGAGGTCATGTGGCAAGTTCTTCAAGAAACCAGGGAGGATGTGACAGTGCTTCTCTTTCAAAAAGGGAAGAGGATGAATCAGTGCTTATATTAGAAAGGCAAGCAATTAAAACAATCTTGCTTAATTTTAGAAAGCCAGTTGGATGTTTTTCACAATGAGGGTAATGGAGGGCTTTAGAAATAACAGCAAAATGAGAAGAGACAGCTGTTTTTCCCCTTTTTTGTTGTTGTTTCTTTTTTGTCAGTAAAACTATACGCCAGCAGCATGTGAATCTCTAAATAACAATAAACCCAAACCCTTATTCATGTGACTTTAGTGGAACTATTCACATGAGTAGTCTTGCAGGATCAGACTTAACAGTACTACTTCATATATCTTATTTTATTTAGAAAATGCATTCAGCTACATATCCTAGATTGCATGGGAATAACTTAGAAAGGGGGAAACACTCGACCTTCTTAAAGCCCCAGTGTCTGGGGTTCTGTGTAGATGGAGTGCACCATGTTTAATAGTTATGAATGTCATTTCCACATCCTCCCAAATCAGTGTCAGGGCGCTAGACTGTTATTCCAGCTTGCAGGCTGAATTAGTATCTGCAGCTCCTTACCTTCCATGCCAGCCCCATAAATTTCTGTGCAGAGATCAGTTTGGTATTTTGAGGTAGTTCATAGGTACCCCAATATAGCAGCTCCACTCATCTGTCATCCTTACAACTCCTATGTGAGGCTTAAGCCATGCATGGGGTTTTGCCAGACCTCTGCACCAGTAGTGAATTTGTCCCATAATGGGCAAATGTGCATGATGCTCGACTGATAAGAGATGAAGTCTCAGCTCGGAGAAGTTTACAACCTCAAGACCAAATTCTGAGGTTCTTCCTCCATTTTTATTCCATCCCTTTTCAAGTCAGTGGCAGTTTGACGAGGTAAAGGCTTGTCTAAATGGACAGTCAGGAAAATTAAGCCAAATGAACCGAAAGTGTAAATTTGAACTGGATTAGTAAAACTGCATTCTGACCTTCTGTGGACGCTCATTCAGAATTAAAATGGCCTTAATGTGGTTTACTTAATTCACAGTCAATTAAGATAAACTGAATTAAGGCCACTTTAATTCTGAATAAGAGAGTCCATAGAGGGTTTTAATGCAGTTTAACTAATCCACTTTAAATTCACACCTTTAGTTAATTTGGATTAATTTTTCAGTGTCCCCATTTAGAGGAGCCCCTAAGTAAAGACTTTGGGATTTGACTCTAAGGGTTTATCTACACTGCTCCATGTTCAAACATGGTAATAAGATAACCCTGTCTCACATTTTTACTCGATATGTTGTGTGGTAAGGGTAAGGATGAATTAGATACGCAGTAACATCATGTGGTTACTTTGCTTACAAATA